TACCTTTATTGAAGATCTGGTGATGAATGATGGGATGGGAGGAGGGGAGACCGTTGATCTTGTTAGTGTTTAGAAGGGGAATCCCCTTCCATTAGCACTTGAGGCAGCAAGTCTTTTTCTGGGGTTACTTCCCTTGTTCTTTTAATGCCACTAGGACCAGCTTCAGAGTCACTGGACTTCTGTCGCACAACATATCTGTCCATAGAGGCCTGTACCTCTCGTTCCTTTATCAAAAAAGGTTTGCACTTTAAGCCACTTTGCACACATTTCCTTAATCTTTGAAGTAGGCAACTTCTTCAATTTCTCTCTCCCCTCCTCCAAAGCAGTTTCCTCAGGTGTGGCCTCTTACTGTTGAAGATGATCTAGCAGCTCATCAGTGGTTTGTTCTTCATTGTCCTCCTCCACCAACTCTTCCACATCCTCCCCACTAACCTTACCAATATGAGCACTAGTTCCAGGCATTTTTTCCTGTTCACCTGGGTGTTAGTCAACTGTTGTGGGTTGCATCCTGGGGGACAAGATTAAGGACCACAATGGAAATAAGTTAGACAGTCCTCGATGATGCACTGACTTTCTTGGGTTATCCTGGGTGGCTAACCCCTCCGGGGTTTAATCGTTTCTCGGTAATTGTTTCAGGTTAAGCCACACCAACAACACTCTCTCCACATCTTCGAGTAATACAGTTGATGGTGGTGCAGCAACAACAACAGCTGACTGTGGTGCAGCAGCAGCTGCACCTTTGGCAAGAACAGCTTCCTTGATTGCCGTTTTCTTACCCACAATAGTAGCGATGGTTGATTGGGGTTTATTATACAACCTGACCAGCTCAGAGACACGCACTCCACTTTCATACTTAGCAATGATCTCTTTCTTCATCTCCATAGTAATTCTCACCCTTTTTGCTGTAGGGTTGGCACTAGAAGCTTTCTTGGGGCCCATGGTGACTTATTTTGCAGGTGCAATCACTACAAAGGCTGTGATAATATGAAATGTTCCAGTTGTTGTATGTTTGGAAGCGACCGCGGTGGCTGGCTGGCTTGTAAACACTGACACCCAAGGGACAAGTGAGGCGTGCTCAGGCCAAAGTGGACGCGTATGGTACGGAACGAATAGCGCTGGTCAGGTTTTTAAGCGCTAGTTGAGGCAAAATTTTTGCGTTTAAATGTATCGCTAGTCAGATTTATCGTTAATCGATGCCATCGCTGGTTAAGGGTCCACTGTATATGTTATAAATAATAATAGTACATATTATTAATAACATGTATTATTATTAACATGTATGTTATTAAATACCATTGCCTCAATCATTGTCTCTACCACTCCAGTCACACTCAATCTACAAGCACCAAACACAATGAATTATTGTGAAATGTTTGGAAGAGCAGGGAGACTAATGTTCACTCCAGCATAAACAAAGTCACACTGACGATGTGTCAACCACTCCCTCGTATTTTTGTACAATTTCCTTCTTCAATTATATCATATAATTATTATTATTATTATTATTATTATTATTATTATTATTATTATTATTATTATTATTATTATTATTACTACTACTATTACTATTGTTATTATTAGCTGTAGCAGAAATGTTTAATTCTTTGCAGTGTTCAAGAGTAAACGCATGATGTCACCGTCTAATACCTGTCCGAATAGCCATTCCAATATGCAGTCATGAATGGGTTTACATTATTTATACTGTAGTTTAATAGCAAATAATGAACAAACAAAACACTCACCACACTGAGTGGTGGGAGGGCTGGCTGCCAGTTGCGGGGGTCGGAGGGAGGGTAGTGGGGACTCGCAGGTGGCGGGAAACTTAAATATGATTTGGCGGCTGGGAATTTGGTGGCTGGGAATTTGGAGGTTGGGAATTTGTGAATGTGTGAAGCCCGTGAAAGTTGAAAACGTGAATGTTGAGGGAGACCTGTATATACAAATGATATTTAGTGAAAAAATTAATTGAAACTGATTAAAAAGTATTTTCTTTGTGATAAAAACACCATTCTATATGGACTATTTACACAGTCACAGAGATTACCAAAACATACAGTATGTATCCAAAAGGATCAATTTTCAGAGAGTAAGGCAACAATCCTGGCCAGAGACTGATCCTAATTAACAGGTGGAAGATTGAGTCTCCACCACTCCTTGTTTTACATGACTCACATGGATTTAGCACTTCAATATTCCACATTAGCTCCAACTCTAACAAGTTTTGTAAAACAAATTCCATTTTCTGAAAATAAATAACTCACACCTGCAAGTTGAAATAATTTTTTTTTTCAACAAACCTGTCGTATCCCACTGAGGCAGAGTGGCCCAAAAATGAAAGTTTTTCTTTATAAATTTAGTAATGTATACAGAAGAAGGGGTCACTAGCCCCTTGCTCCCGGCATTTTAGTTGCCTCTTATAACATGCATGGCTTACAGAGGTAGAATTCTGTTCCACTTCCACATGGAAATAAACAAGAGGGTGTGTATATATATACAGTGGACCCCCGGTTAACGATATTTTTTCATTTCAGAAGTATGTTCAGGTGCCAGTACTGACCGAATTTGTTCCCATAAGGAATATTGTGAAGTAGATTAGTCCATTTCAGACCCCCAAACATACACGTACAAACGCACTTACATAAATACACTTACATAATTGGTCGCATTGGGAGGTGATCGTTATGCGGGGGTCCACTGTACACACACACCCAGAGGGGTGTGTGTGTATATATACAGTGGACCCCCGGTTAACGAACTTTTTTCATTCCAGCAGTATGTTCAGGTGCCAGTACTGACCGAATTTTTTCCCATAAGGAATATTGTGAAGTAGATTAGTCCATTTCAGACCCCCAAACATACACGTACAAACGCACTTACATAAATACACTTACATAATTGGTCGCATTTGGAGGTGATCGTTATGCGGGGGTCCACTGTATATGCTTGTATATGATGTGCAGTGTGACTTAGGTGTAAGCAGAAGTAGCAAGATGCACCTGAAACCTTGCATGTTTATGAGACAGAAAAAAAGACACCAGCAATCCTACCATCATATAAAACAATTACAGGTTTCCATTTCACACTCACTTAGCAGGACGGTAGTCCCTCCCTGGGCGGTTGCTGTCTACCAACCTACTAGCTAAGTTGAAATAATTATATACATATATGAATATATCTATGGAGGCAAAGAAGGGAATGTATGAAAGTATAGTAGTATCAACACTCTTATATGGGTGTGAAGCTTGGGTTGTGACTGCAGCAGCGAGGAGGCAGCTGGAGGCAGTGGAGATGTCCTGTCTAAGGGCAATGTTTGGTGTAAATATTATGCAGAAAATTCGGAGTGTGGAAATTAGGAGAAGGTGTGGAGTTAATAAAAGTATTAGTCAGAGGGCTGAAGAGGGGTTGTTGAGGTGGTTTGGTCATTTAGAGAAAATGGATCAAAGTAGAATCACATGGAGTGTGTATAAATCTGTAGGGGAAGGAAGGCGAGGTAGGGGTCCTCCTCGAAAAGGTTGGAAGGAAGGGGTAAGGGAGATTTTGTGGGCAAGGGGCTTGGACTTCCAGCAGGCGTGCATGAGCGTGTTTGATAGGAGTGAATGAAGAAGAATGGTATTTGGGACTTGACGATCTGTTGGAGCGAGAGCAAGGTAATATTTAGTGAAGGGATTCAGGGAAACCGGTTATTTTTATATAGCCGGACTTGAGTCCTGGAAATGGGAAGTACAATGCCTGCACCCTAAAGGAGAGGTTCTGGATATTAGCAGTTTGGAGGGATATATTGTGTATCTTTATACGTATATACAGTGGACCCCCGGTTCACGATGCTATCAGTATCCGATAAATCCGGTAGCCGATGTATTATATCGCCAAAAATTTGCCTCGGTTCCCGTTACAAAACCCAGTATGCGATGCGATTCGTACGAGACGTGTCCACGTGTAGCCTGAAATGCCCCGTGTGTGCCAGTGTTTACAAGCCAGCCAGTGTGCGCACATCTAAGGATACATTCGGTACATTCCATATTATCCATATTATCACTGTTTTTGGTGCTTGTTTCTGCAAAATAAGTCACCATGGGCCCCAAGAAAGCTTCTAGTGCCAACCCTGTGGTAAAAAGGTGAGAATTAGTATGGAAATTAAGAAAGATTTTGAAGGGTTTGGGGCTAACCCTGAGAAACCTATGCCAGTTGTGGAATCCATTGTGCCTACTTCAAAGATTAAGGAAATGTGTGCAAAGTGGGTTGAACTGCAAACCTTTAGGGATGAAAATCACCCTAACACAGCTATTGCAAGCCCTGCTGGTGTCTATTACAATGACAATGTTGCGGCTCATTTTAGACAAATCTTAAAGGAACGGGAGGTACAGAGCTCTATGAACAGATATGTTGTGTGACATAAGTCCAGTGACTCTCAAGCTGGTCCTAGTGGCATTAAATGAAGAAGGGAAGTAATCCTGGAAAAGGACTTGCTACCTCAAGTCCTAATGGAAGGGGATTCCCCTTCTAAACAATAGGTTCAACACTCTCCCCTCCTCCCATCCCATCAATCATCACCAGATCTTCATTAAAGGTAAGTGTCAATTATTCTATTGTTATTATTCTATTGTTATTGTAATTATTCTATTGCATGAAACTTAATATTTCATGTGGTAAATGTTTTTTTTTTTCATACTTTTGGGCGTCTTGCACGGATTAATTTGATTTCCATTATTTCTTATGGGGATAATTGATTCGCTTTCCGATAATTTTGGTTTACGATGAGCTCTCGGGAACGGATTAATATCGCAAACCGGGGGTCCACTGTACTTCTAAAGTGTTGTATTCTGAGCACCTCTGCAAAAACAGTGATTATGTGTGAGTGAGGTGAAAGTGTTGAATGATGATGAAAGTATTTTCTTTTTGGGGATTTTCTTTCTTTTTGGGTCACCCTGCCTCGGTGGGAGACGGCTGACTTGTTAAAAAAAAAATACAAAGCATTACAAACAAATTACCATTGAACTAACCTGTAAATGAGGCTTCCCAGAGACCAATAGCCATCAATAAAGAGATTCATGGCTGCATAAAGCAACATCATAGCCACGGGGTCATTAAACAAGCGTAACACAAATATAGAGTGGACTCGATATGATGTGCAACACACAAATATCAGCATATATGGTGGTAACTGCAAAGCAAAAAAAGGCAGGTAATTATGATCTATTTAGAAAACAGTATAGTACTATAAAATATACTGCATTCTAAAATAAAAAGACAATAATAATAATAATAATACCTGGAGTATACCTGAAGGGTTTTTCAAGGGGTCAACACCCCCATGGCCTGGTCTGTGACCAGGCTTCATGGTAGATGCGGGCCTGATCAACCAGACTGTTACTGCTGGCCACAAGTAAATCGTGCATGATGATTCATCCCCTCCCTCCAGAGGAGTGGGGATATTGGAGTTCAAAGGGTCATCTGAACTGTGATGTAGTGTGCTTCTATCAAGACAATGAATGAATGTGTGAATGACAGTGAAATTATTTTTCTTTTTTGGGGAGGAACACACTACCACAGTGGAAGATACCTGCTGTGTTAAAATAACAATAATACAAAGCTAATACTAATACATGTACTACTATTAATATAATTACTACTGTACTACTAACGCATCTGTTTTCCATCAAAAAGTGACATATGGCTATTTGCTATCAATGCATCCACAGCTTTGAAAGTAAAAAAGAGTAGTGAACACTCCCTGGCTAGCATTTAAGATTATTGCCTTATTAATCTTAAGTTAGTTTAAGTTTGACCAAAATGCTCTACATATACATGTACAGGTCGGCCATCACTAATCCGGCATCATTGGGACCTGTAGTGTGCCGGATTAGTGAGTTTGCCGGATTACAGAGTGGTTAGGTTAGAATACACTTAACCTATCAGTAGAGAGACTTTCTGCTACATGCTCCTCATTTTCATCACTGCTTTCTTCTCCACTGGCTTGCTGCTGTAGATTTACAACCATCTGCACAATTTCTGATTCAGTATAATGATGAAATTTGAGTCGGTATAATGATGAAATTTGAAATTATACTAGCTGAAATTAGTGCCGGATTACTGATGGAGCCGGATAACTGATTGCCGGATTAGTGATGGCCAACCTGTATAGGGGCTTTCTGCATGTACACGCAAATGTCATTCACCTTTGTACAAACATTGCATCATGCTGAAATAAAGTATGTACGTATTATCATTATTATTATTATTATTAATTATTATTATTATTATTACTTGCAGAACTGAAATCTGAATTCTTACCAAGAACCAGAAAGGGATACTTCACACTGAATGCTGAATAATGAAACTACTGAATGTGGTACTTGATTACCTACAAAAAATTATTTTTATTAGAGTTTCCTCCTTTTTATTCCCCTTGGCACTTCCCTTTTAACATATAATGAGGGGCAATATCCCCTTCAAATAAATTTTCCATTAAATATGAATTTTGCAACGATGCTTCTGATACACTTATTTTTTTTTTCAACAAGTCGGCCGTCTCCCACCTAGGCAGGGTGACCCAAAAAAGAAAGAAAATCCCCAAAAAGAAAATACTTTCATCATCATTCAACACTTTCACCTCACTCACACATAATCACTGTTTTTGCAGAGATGCTCAGAACACAACAGTTTAGAAGCATATACATATAAAGATACACAACATATCCCTCCAAACTGCTAATATCCCAAAACCCCTCCTTTAGAGTGCAGGCATTGTACTTCCCATTTCCAGGATTCAAGTCCGGCTATATAAAAATAACCGGTTTCTCTGAATCCATTCACTAAATATTACCCTGCTCACACTCCAACAGATCGTCAGGTCCCAAATACCATTCGTCTCCATTCACTCCTATCAAACACGCTCATGCACGCCTGCTGGAAGTCCAAGCCCCTCGCCCATAAAACCTCCCTTACTCCTTCCTTCCAACCTTTTCGAGGACGACTCCTATCCCGTCTTCCTTCTCCTACCGATTTAAATGCTCTCCATGTCATTCTACTTTGATCCATTCTCTCTAAATGACCAAACCACCTCAACAACCCCTCTTCAGCCCTCTCACTAATACTTTTATTAACTCCACACCTTCTCCTAATTTCCACACTCCGAATTTTCTACATAATATTTACACCACACATTGCCCTTAGACAGGACATCTCCACTGCCTCCAACCGTCTCCTCGCTGCTGCATTTACAACCCAAGCTTCACACCCATATAAGTGTGTTGGTACTACTATACTTTCATACATTCACTTCTTTGCCTCCATAGATAACGTTTTTTGATTCCACATATACCTCAACGCACCACTCACCTTTTTTTCCTCATTAATTCTATGATTAACCTCACTTCATAAATCCATCCGCCGACACGTCAACTCCCAAGTATCTGAAAACATTCACTTCTTCCATACTCCTCCTTCCCAATTTGATATCCAATTTTTCTTTATCTAAATCATTTGATACCCTCATCACCTTACTCTTTTCTATGTTCACTTTCAACTTTCTACCTTTACACACACTCCCAAACTCATCCACTAACCTTTGCAATTTTTCTTTAGAATCTCCCATAAGCACAGTATCATCCAAAAAGTAACTGTGTCAATTCCCATTTTATATTTGATTCACCACAATTTAATCCCACCCCTCTCCCAAACACCCTAGCATTTACTTCTTTTACAACCCCATCTATAAATATATTAAACAACCATGGTGACATTACACATCCCTGTCTAAGACCTACTTTTACCGGGAAGTAGTCTCCCTCTCTTCTACACACCCTAACTTGAGCCTCACTATCCTCATAAAAACTCTTTACAGCATTTAGTAACTTACCACCTATTCCATATACTTGCAACATCTGCCACATTGCTCCCCTATCCACTATCATATGCCTTTTCTAAATCCATAAATGCAATAAAAACTTCCCTTATTCACAATGATAATATAATGAAAAACTTGTAAATTTGTTTTAACTGTCTCCTGAACTTTAAAAATACCCAAGATGGGAAAAACTGCTTAGAATACATACATACCTTTCTGCTCTTGTGAAACATTCTGAAAACTAGCATCAAGGTAATGATGTAGAACACAGCAAAAATGTACTGTGCCAGACGGATGTTAGTGCCTGTGTTTGTAAGGTGATACAGTCCCATGAACAGATACACAAAACCTGTAAACCAGAAATACTTTATTACATTCAATAAGATCACAGTAAACATGTAATATCACATTATCAAGGAACTTGATAATTTGAGAAATCAGGAAAGCACTTGGAAGTTCACTATTTTTTCACAGTGGTTGTTTTGCATTTTCTTCTTCTTTCAGCAAACCGGCTGTATCCCACTGAGGCAGGGTGGCCCAAAAAAGAAAAACGAAAGTTTCTCTTTTTAAATTTAGTAATATATACAGGAGAAGGCGTTACTAGCCCCTTGCTTCCAGCAAGTTAGTTGCCTCTTATGACACACATGGCTTATGGAAGAAGAATTCTGCTCCACTTCCCCATGGAGTGTTTTGCAATTTATTATACATGCATATATAAAAATACAAAATATAAAAAATATATCAAATACGTTAGTAACCCCTTCTCCTGTAGAAAATACTAAAAAAGAGAAGAAAAACTCTTTAAAACTGAGATGCTTGAATGTGCATGGATGTAGTGCAGATAAGAAAGAGATGATTACTAATACAGTGGACCCCCACTTAACGATCACCTCCCAATGCAACCAATTATGTAAGTGTATTTATATAAGTGTGTTTGTATGTGTATGTTTGGGAGTCTGAAATGGACTAATCTACTTCACAATATTCCTTATGGGAACAAATTCGGTCAGTACTGGCACCTGAACATACTTCTGGAATGAAAAAAATATCGTTAATCGGGGGTCCACTGTATTATGAATGACAAGAAATTGGATGTCCTGGCCCTAAGCAAAACAAAGCTGAAAAGGATAGGGGAGTTTCAGTGGGGAGAAATAAATGGGATTAAGTCAGGAGTATCTGAAAGAGTTAGAGCTACGGAAGGGGTAGCAATAATGTTGAAGGATCAGTTATGGAAGGAGAAGAGGGAATATCAATGTATAAATTCATGGATTATGTGGATTAAAATAAGGATAGGATGCAAAAAGTGGGTCATAATAAGTGTGTATGCACCTGGAGAAGAGAGGAGTGTAGAGGAGAGAGAGAGATTTTGGGAGATGTTAAGCGAGTGTGCAGGAACTTTTGAACCAAGTGAGAGAGTAACTGTAGTAGGGGACCTAAATGCTAAAGCAGGGGAAACATTTAGAGAGGGTGTGGTAGGTAAGTTTGGGGTGCCAGGTGTAAATGATAATGGGGGCCCTTTGATTGAACTTTGTATAGAAAGGGGTTTGGTTAGGTAATACATATTTTAAGAAAAAGAGGATAAATAAGTATACAAGATATGATGTAGGGCGTAATGACAGTAGTTTGTTGGACTACGTATTGGTAGATAAAAGACTGTTGAGTAGACTTCAGGATGTACATGTTTATAGAGGGGCCACAGATATACCAGATAACTTTTTAGTTGTACCTAAAGTGAGAGTAAAAGGTATATGGGATACAAGGGAAAATAGAAGCAGCAAGTAAGAGAGAGGTGAAGGTTTATAAACTAAAGAAGGAGGCAGTTAGGGTAAGATATAAACAACTATTGTATTAATATTGGTAGAATTACCAACAATATGTCAAGTAAAAGGACACAAATCTAACACAAAGTGGGAGTTGTCACAGTTGCTCTTTGCTGATGACACTGTTCTTCTGGGAGATTCTGAAGAGAAGTTGCAGTGGTTGGTGGATAAGTTTGGTAGGGTATGTAAAAGAAGAAAATTAAGAGTGAATACAGGAAAGAGTAAGATGATGATAACAAAAAAATTAGGTGACGAAAGGTTGGATATTAGATTGGAGGGAGAGAATATGGAGGAGGTGAATGCATCAAGATATTTAGGAGTGGACGTGCCAGCAGATGGGTCTATGAAAGATGAGGCGAGTCAAAGACTTGATGAGGGGAAGAAAGGTGAGTGGTGCACTTAGGAGCCTGTGGAGACAAAGAATTTTGTCCATGGAAGCAAAGAGGAGAATGTATGAGAGTATAGTTATACTAACGCTCTTATATGGGTGTGAAACATGGGTGGTGAATGTTGCAACAAGGAGAAGGTTAGAGGTAGTGGAGATGTCATGTCTGAGAGCAATGTGTGGTGTGAAAATAATGCAGAGAATTCACAGTTTGGAAATTAGGAGGAGGTGCGGGATTACCAAAACTATTATCCAGAGGGCTGAGGAGAGGTTGTTGAGGTGGTTAGGACATGTAGAGAGGATAGAACAAAATAGAATGACTTTGAAAGTGTATAAATCTCTAGTGGAGGGAAGGTGTGGTAGGGGTCAGCCAAGGAAAGGTTGAAGGGAGGGGATAAAGGAGCTTTTGTGTGTGAGGGGCTTGGATTTCCAGCAAGCATGCGTGAGCATGTTAGATGGGAGCAAATGGAGACAAATGGTTTTTAGGACTTGACGTGCTGTTGGAATGTGAGCAAGGTAACATTTACGAAGGGATTCAGGGAAACTGGCAGGCCAGACTTGAGTCCTGAAGATGGGAAGTACATATACAGTGTCTGCACTCTGAAGGAAGGGTGTTAATGCTGCAGTTTTAAAACTGTAGTGTAAGCACACATCTGGCAAGACAGTGATGAAGTGAATGATGATGAAAATTTTTCTTTTTTGGGCCACCCTGCCTTGGTCAGAAATGGCCGATGTGTTAATACAAAAATTAAAAAAATATATTGTACTTAATTTTCTATTATTGTTTACTATAATGAACAAACACCATGCAGTTCAACAAAAAAAAAAACCATAGTTTCCCTGAATCCTTTCATAAAAGTGACCTTGCCCACACTCCAACAGCTCATCTATCAAAAATACTTTTCTCCATTCACTCCTATCTAAAATGCTCACACTAGCCTGCTGGATGCTTGGGCCTCTAGAACTCGAGGCCTCTTTCACCCCCTCCCTTAACCATTCCTGGGATGACGCATACCCTTCCTACTTTCCACCCAAGATTTTCATACCATCTTCGTCCCGTAGCCAGGTTGCTAGTGCATTCAGCTCACACGCTGAGATCTGTGGTTCAAACCCTGGTACAGATAGAAACATTAGGGTGTGTTTCCATAACATACCTGCTGTCCCTGTTCACCCATCAGTAAGTAGGTACCTGGGTGTTAGCCGACTGGTGTGGCTCACATCTTGGGGACAAAATTAACCTAATTTGCTTGAAATACTCTGCATAACAAGGGGCTCTCTATACAGTAAGTCACTGATGTCTGTTAGGTCTGTATACATTATACATGTACTTGTAGAAATAAAGATTATTATTATTATATTATTATTATTATTATTATTATTATTATTATTATTATTATTATTATTATTATTATTATTATTATTAACCTATCCCTCTCTATCCTTTTTACATGTCCAAACCACTTCAACAACCCCTCCTAAGCCCTCTACATTACAATTATCAAGTTAAACTCTTGTAAAATTCTAAACCAAAAAGGTCAGTTGGCACTGTACAATGCAGAGATGAAAGCTATGGAGGTGTTGAGGTAAGGACATTAGCAGAAAAAAGAAAGAGTTAATGTAGCAAATTTCTGATTTACAAAAACTAAGCAAGTTTCTACCAACGGTGATAAAGTTGGAGAGGAAAGCGGACACAGTGAGCTTAAAAGACGTGTAACACACATCAACAACTTTACCTGCTGGGTAAACAAGAGGTCCCGTGTCACCACGCAACTTAGTGTAATCCCATGTTCCATTCACCACGCCCTCCACCTCCTGCATGTATGCAACCCAATCGATTTCTGTATCTGTGCCAAAACATTATTTAATCAAAATACAATCTGCACGTTTCATCAAGAAAACAACTAGTATCTAGTGAGGATTAAGCAATATACAGTGGACCCTCGACTAATGCTATTAATCCGTTCCTGAGAGCTCATCGTTAGTCAAGTTAATTTTCCCCATAAGAAATAATGGAAATCAAATTAATCCGTGTAGGACACCCCAAAGTATGAAAAAAAAAAATGTTTTTACCACATGAAATATTAATTTTAATACACACAAACTAAAGAAGACATGCACAGTTACATGACACTTACTTTTATTGAAGATCTGGTAATGACTGATGGGATGGGGGAGGAGGGGAGAGTGTTGATGGTCTTAGTGTTTAGAAGGGGAATCCCCTTCCATTAGGACTTGAGGTGGCAAGTCCTTTTCCGGGGTTACTTCCCTTTCCTTTAAATCTCTCAAACCAACGTTTGCTGGCCTTAAATTCACTCACATCACCACTAGTTGCTGGCATTTTTTTAATTAAATCATCATGCAACTTCCTAGCCTTTTCACATATGATCGCTTGAGAGATGCTATCTCCTGCTATCTGTTTTTCGTTTATCCACACCAATAACAGTCTCTCAACATCGAGTACTTGCGATCTCAGTTTTGAAAACATAGTTGCACCTTTGGTAAGAACAGCTTCCTTGATTGCCATTTTCTTAGCCACAAAAGTAGCGATGGTTGATTGGGGTTTTGTGTACAACCTGGCCAGCTCGGAGACACGCACTCCACTTTCATACTTAGCAATGATCTCTTTCTTCATATCCATAGTAATTCTCACCCTTTTTGCTGTAGGGTTGGCACTAGAAGATTTCTTGGGGCCCATGGTGACTTATTTTGCAGGTGCAATCACTAAAAAGACTGTGATAATATGAAATGTTCCGATTGTATGCTTGGAAGTGACCGCGGTGGCTGGCTGGCTGGCTGGCTTGTAAACACTAGCCAGAAGTGGACGCGTCTCAGACTGAACGAATAGTGTTGGTCGAGTTTTTTAGCGCTAGTCGAGGCAAAATTTTTGCGTTAAAATGTATCACTAGTCGGATTTATCGTTAATCGATGCCATCATTGGTCGAGGGTCCACTGCATTTACAACATAGTAGTTACTTTTTTTTTTTTAAACAAACCGGCTGTATCCCACCAAGGCAGGATGGCCCAAAAAGAAAAACCAAAGTTTCTCTTTTTAAATTTAGTAATTTATACAGGAGAAGGGGTTACTAGGCCTTGCTCCCGGCATTTTAGTTGTCTCTTACATCACGCATGGCTTACGGAGGAAGAATTTTGTTCCACTTCCCCATGGAGATAAGAGGAAATAAACAAGAACAAGAACTAGAAAAAAAATAGAAGAAAACCCAAGAACAAGTCTCGGAGAGGGCCTGGCAACCCTGAAAGGGTTAATAACTAAATTTATCAAACACTATACAGTGGACCCCCGCTTTACGATCAGCTCCCAATGCGACCAATTATGTAAGTGTATTTATGTAAGTGCGTTTGTACGTGTATGTTTGGGGGTCTGAAATGGACTAATCTAATTCACAATATTCCTTATGGGAACAAATTCGTTCAGTAATGGCACCTGAACATACGTCTGGAATGAAATAATATCGTAAACCGGGGTTCCACTGTATGTCGGTCCTCACCAAATTAATCAGAAAGTCCAAGCAACTATACTATGCTAACAGATTCACTGAAATAAGAGGTGAAATTAAAAAGACCTGGAAAACACTCTCAGATCCTGGGCACCACAAACCGAGCAGAGCTAGTAGTACTATACTAACCAAACCATGAACTGAAATTCCAGCCTATTGATACAGCTGACGAGCTAAGTGATTTCTTCTCAATCATAGGAACAAATCTTGCCAGTAAAATTCCAATTACAAATGCCCAAGTTAATGATTATCTAGATGGAAACTTCCCAACATCCCTCTATTTTACACCAACAGAGCCCACTGAGGTTACCATGATTATTAACTTTACAAAAAAATCAGGAAATGTAACCCAAGTACCACCACTACTGTATAAACGAGTGGCTCAAATCCTTTCACCCACCACTGCGTTACTCTTCAACAAATCACTAGAAACCAGCACTTTCCCGGCATCACTCAAACTAGCAAGGGTTACACCAATACACAAAGGTGGTGACCCAACAGATGTAAACAATTATAGGCCAATATCAAACTTGCCTTTACTTTCCAAAAATCTTTGAGAAACTCATACACAAAAGGTTATACTCCTTCATAACATCACAAAGAATCCTTAACCCCTGCCAGTTTGGCTTCAGAAGAAACAAAGGCACAAATGATGCAATAATAAAAATGCTAGACCTACTTTACACAGCACTGGAAAAAAACAAATACCCACGAGATTCCATCCTATTGTTGAGAAGAAGTCATTTAACTTGTTAGCTGTATCAATAGGCTGGAATTTCGGTTCATTTGGTTTAATTAATACAATATTACTAGCTCTATTTGGTTTGTGGTGCCCAAGATCTGAGAGTGTGTCTCCTCTCATTTCAGTGAATCTGTTACAATAGCATACATAGTTGTTTGGACTTTCTGATTAATTTGATGAGGACTGACGTATAGTGTTTGATAAATCATTTAGTTATAAGACCCTTTCTATATTGTTTCTCATATTGATGTTTCGTATTGATGGACTTTAGGATGTTAGTAAGCCATGGGCAACTTAGTCTTTTATTGGTGATCTGTTTAGTTTTTATGGGACAATATTTGTTACAGTATAGAGCTTTTGAATTTTATTTAGAAATATCTCTACCCATTCTTCAATACCCACAGCATTAGAAAATTCTGTAGGCCAGTCAACAGAGCTTAGTTCTGCAGTGAAGTTACTTACTGAAGCCTCATCATGTCCAAAATGCTCTGCATATAAAGGGGCTATTGGCATGTACACCCAACCATTAAACTCTTTTGTACAAACTTGTATCATGTAAAAATAAATTATTATTATTATTAGACATTATTTAGGTATGCATACTGCTCAGAAAGCCCGTCATAAGTCAGAGTTGTCGGTAAACAAGTACGTTGCTAAGTGAGGAGAGGCTGTTTATACCTTCAGCTGATATCAAGACATATAACTACTATAAACCAAGGAACAGGCAGGGATGAAACCCAGAGCAAGCCAGTCCTAAAACTCCAGGCCAGTGTATAAGCCATTCAGAACGTTCCATGATTTGTTTGCAATCGTGTTATTATGATTTTGAGAGTCTGAGATATACGATATTTTCTGCCATATAAGATGCATGACAGAAGTATCATGATGGTAATTCAGCAATCATATTCAAGGGCTAATTACCCTCTTGCTTTATGCTAAGGCATAACAAAAATCCTACCCTTGACCTTGAGCACAGGCACAGGGTGATTTTACAAAGATTTTTCATGGGAAAAAAGGTGCACCTCATATGCCAGAAAATATGGTAACTGTTATCTTTACATAAAACTGACTAGCAATGAATATCACTGAATTAAAATTATACAATATGATATATAACAAAAAAACTTCAAATTCAATTCCCAATTCATTACCATATGCGTATAGTACTCACATTTAACTCTCTGGATGATCAAAATATTTACAACTATCTCTGCCAATAAAAACACAATAGCTGATAACCAAAAATATTTAGGATCGACGATGAGGCTAACAATGAAGTCCTTGCGGAGGTATTCCTGCTGGAGACGCTTCATTTTCTCAAAAAATGAAGGATGTTTCTTTTTCTGAGTCTTCTCTGTGGGAGGCATCTTGAATTCTGAAGAAAAAATTTACATTAATTTGATTAATAAATAAATTATATATAATTATACACACACACACACACAGACACAAAGACTGACACACACACACACACACACGGGGCCAGGAGCTAGGACTCGACCCCTGCAACCACAAATAGGTGAGTACACACACACACACACACACACAAAAAAAAAAAAAAAAAAAAAAAAAAAAAAAAAAAAAGTCACGAAGATTGGGAAAGGGGCAAAGAAGACTGCAGACAGAGATGTCGTCTACAGGCCCAAAACTAAAAACCCATAAAGGAAAAAGATTTTTGGGAGTGAGCATCATACCGACCTTTGGGGCAACTTCAACCAAATAATTGCTTCAGCAAGGGGAACTAGAGAACCTAAGAAATGTACCGACCCTCAGTAAGAAATTGTTCAAGAATTTGTATACCGGGGACATCACCCATACTGGCATATGCAGCCCCATTGTGAATCCTGCCCCTGGTCAACACACAAGAAGTTACGAAAGGTAAAGGGTTTTGGAACAAGAAATCCGAGCTAAGGCATATGTCCTAAAAGGAGGTTAAAGGGGAAAAAAAATTGACGGCAATGGGGGAGAGGAGGGATGGGGAGGGACATGAAAACAACATAAAAAATATGAGAAATCGACAAGGGGGACAGAGACGGATATCCGAGATGGGACACAGCAACAAGGGTCACAATTTGGGAAATTGAAGACCAGTGAGTCACAGGGTGTTAGGAAGTAAATTTTTTTTGCACATATTTGCGGAAGTGCAACAGTTTAAGAAGATATGGGGGGGGGGAGGATCCAACATAACTTTTGAAGGGGGAGAAAAACTCTGAGCCCGGGGAATAGACCTAAATGACTTGAAGAGGCAGCGTCAGGAGCGGGAACGACCCTTGCAACCACAATAATGAGACAATTAGACAAGAAAACACACACAAACACACCAAGCTGGCATCGCCTCCCCCCCTCTCAACCACACATAGGTGATATGCACCAGAAAAACCCCACCACAGTAAGGGCCCCACCAAAACCCTTTCCCCCAGTGAGGGTCCCACCAACCTTTCCCAGTGAGGCTCCCCCACCTTTCCCCATGGGGGTCCCACCAACCTTCCCTCAGTAAGGCTCCCACCCAAACCCTTCCTCTAAAGGCTCCCCCCAACCTTCCCCCAGTAAGGGTCCCCCCACCTTCCCTCATAAGGCTCCCACCAACCTTCCCTCTTTTAAAGGGTCCCACCAACCTCCCTCATAAGGCTCCCCCCAACCTCCCCCGTGAGGCTCCCACCAACCTTCCCCAGTGGCCCACCCAAACCTTTCCCCAGTAAAAGGGCCCCAAAACCCTTTTCCCAAGTGAGGGTCCCACCAACCTTCCACAGTGAGGCTCCCACCAACCTTCCCTCAGTAAACTCCCACCAACCTTTCCCCCAAAGGCTCCATCAAACCTTCCCTCATAAGGCTCCCCCAACCTTCCTCAGTAAGGCCCCACCAACCTTCCCTCATAAGGCTCCCACCAACAACCCTCATAACCCCACCAACCTTTCCTCGTAAGGCCCCCCCCAAACCTTCCTCGTAAGGGTCCCACCAACCTTCCTCAATAAGGCCCCACCAACCCTTTCCCCCAAAAGGCTCCCACCAACCTTCCCCAATAAGGCTCCCCCCAACCTTCCCTCATGAGGGTCCCCCCAACTTTCCCCCAGTAAGGCTCCCACCAACCTTCCCTTTAATAAGGCTCCCCCCAACCTTCCCTCGTGAAAATCCCCACCAACCTTCCCTCAGTGAGGCTCCCACCAACCTTCTTTCAAGTAAGGCTCCACCAACCTTCCTAAGGCTTCCCACCAACTTTCCCTCAGTAAGGCTCCCACCAACCTTCCCTCAGTAAGGCTCCCACAAACCTTCCCTCAGTAAGGCTCCCACCAACCTTCCCTCAGTAAGGCTCCCACAAACCTTCCCTAAGTAAGGATCCCATCAAACACTTCACTCAGTAAGCTCCCACCAAACCTTCCCTCAGTACGGCTCCCACCAACCTTCCTAAGTAAGGCTCACCAACCTTCCCTCAGTGAAGGCTCCTCCACCTCCCCCCCCATCCCCCCCACCCCACACCAACTTCTTTCAGTAAGGCTCACAATACTTCCCTCAAGTAAGGCTCCCACCAACTTCCCTATGGCTCCCACCAACCTTCCCTCAGTAAGGCTCCCACCAACCTTCCCTCAGTAAGGCTCCCACCAACCTTCCCTCAGTGAGGCTCCACCAACCTTCCCTCAGTGAGGCTCACACCAAAACCTTCCCTAAGCAAGGGATCCCACCAACCTTCCTTTCAGTTAAGGCTCCCACCAAACCTTCCCTCAGTAAGCCTCCCACCAACCTTCCTAAGTAAGCCTCCCAACTACTTCCCTAAGTAGGCTCCCACCAACCTTCCTTCCGTAAGGCGCCCACCAATTCCTCAGTTAAGCCTCCACCAACCTTCCCTAAGTAAGGCTCCAACCAACCTTCCCTCAGTAAGAATCCACAACTCAACCTTCCCTAAGTAAGGCTCCCACCAACCTTCCTTCAGTAAGGCTCCCACCAACCTTCCCTCAGTAAGGCTCCCACCTACCTTCCATCACGTAAGGCTCCACCAATCCTTACGTCAGTAGGCTCCCACCAACCTTCCTCAGTAAGGCTCCAACCCAAACCTTCCCTCAGTAAGGCTCCCACAACCCTTTCCTAAGTAAGGCTCCCACCAACCTTCCCTCAGTAAGGCTCCCACCAACCTTCCCTCAGTAAGGCTCCCACCAACCTTCCCTAAGGCTCCCACCAACCTTTCCTCAGTAAGGCTCCCACCAACCTTCCTTCATTAAGGCTCCCACCACCTTCCTCAGTAAGTCTCCCACCAATCTTCCTCGTAGGGGATCACCAACCTTCCCTAAGGCTCCCACCAACCCTTCCCTATAAGTATGGATCCCCACCACCTTCCCTCAGTAAGGCTCACCAACCTTCCCTCAGTAGGCTCCCTCTCAACCTTCCCTCAGTGAGGCTCCCACCAACCTTCCCTAAGTAAGGCTCCCACCAACCTTCCTTCAGTAAGGCTCCCACCAACCTTCCCTCAGTAAAGCCTCCCACCACAACCTTCCCTAATAAGGCTCCCAACCTACTTCCTCCAGTAAGGCTCCCACAACACTTCCCTCAGTAAGGCTCCCAGCAACCTTCCCTAAGTAAGGCTCCCACCAACCTTCCTTCAGTAAGGCTCCCACCAACCTTCCCTCAGTAAGGCTCCCACCAACCTTCCCTCAGTAAGGCTCCCACCAACCTTCCCTCAGTAAGGCTCCCACCAACCTTCCCTAAGGCTCCCACCAACCTTCCCTCAGTAAGGCTCCCACCAACCTTCCCTCAGTAAGGCTCCCACCAACCTTCCCTCAGTGAGGCTCCCACCAACCTTCCCTCAGTAAGGCTCCCACCAACCTTCCCTCAGTAAGGCTCCACCAACCTTCCTCAGTAAGCCTCCCACCAAACCCTTCCCTCAGTTAAGGCTCCCACAACCTTCCTAAGTAAGGCTCCCACCAACCTTTCCCTAAGTAAGCTCCCACTCAACCTCCCTCACAGTAAGGCTGGCCACCAAACTTCCCTCTGTAAGGTTTCCACCAACCTTCCCTCAGTAAGGCTCCCACCAACGTTCCCTCAGTAAGGCTCCCACCAACCTTCCCTCAGTAAGGCTTCCACCAACCTTCCCTCAGTAAGGCTCCCACCAACCTTCCCTCAGTAAGGCTCCCACCAACCTTCCCTCAGTAAGGCTCCCACCAACCTTCCCTCAGTAAGGCTCCCACAACCTTCGCTCAGTAAACAGCCTCCCCACCTACCTTCACCCTTCCAGTAAGGCTCCCACCAACCCTTACCTCAGTAAGGCTTCCACCAACCTTCCCTCAGTAAGGCTTCCACCAACCTTCCCTCAGTAAGGCTCCCACCAACCTTTCCCTCAGTAAGGCTCCACCAACCTCCCTCATAGGCTCCCAACCCACCTTCCTCAGTGAGCTCCCCACCAACCTTCCCTCAGGAGGCTCCCACCAACTTCCTCAGTAAGGTGACACAACCTTCCCGCAGTAAGGCTCCCACCAACCTTCCCTCAGTAAGGCTCCCACCAACCTTCCCTCAGTAAGGCTCCCACCAACCTTCCCTCAGTAAGGCTCCCACCAACCTTCCCTAAGTAAGGCTCCCACCAACCTTCCCTCAGTAAGGCTCCCACCAACCTTCCCTCAGTAAGGCTCCCCCACCAATTCCCTCAGTTTAAGGCTCCCCCTCCAACCTTCCCTCAGTAAGGCTCCCACCAACCTTCCCTCAGTAAGGCTCCCACCAAAACCTTCACCCCTCCAGTAAGCCTCCCCACCAACCTTACCTCAGTTAGGCTCCCCCACCCAACTTCCCTCCAGTAAGGCTTCCTCCAAAACTTCCCTCCAGAAAGGCTTCCACCAACCTTCCATCGTAAGGCCTCCCACCAACCTTCCCTCAGAAGGATCCCACCATCCTTCCTCCTTCAGTAAGGCTTCCACAACCTTCCCTCAGTAAGGCTTCCCCACCAACCTTCCCTCAGAAGGCTCCCACCAACCTTCCTCAGTAAGGCTCCCTCACCCCTACCCACCCACCCCACAAACCTTCCCTCAGTAAGGCCTTCCAACAACCTTCCTCAGTTAAGGCTTCCACCAACCTTCCCTCTGTAAGCTCCCACCCTATATCTCACCTCACTCCCCTCAGTAAGGCTCCCACCAACCTTCCCTCAGTAAGGCTCCCACCAACCCTCCCTCAGTAAGGGCGTACTCCAAACCTTCCTCGTTAAGGCTTCACCAACCCTTCCCCAGTAAGGCTCCCACCAACCTTCCCTCAGTAAGGCTCCCACCAACCTTCCCTCAGTAAGGCTCCCACCAACCTTCCCTCAGTAAGGCTCCCACCAAACTTCCCTCGGTAAGGACTCCGACCAACCTTCCCTCAGTAGTCCAACAAACCTTCCCTCAGTAAGGCTCCCACCAACCTTCCCTCAGTAAGGCTCCCACCAACCTTCCCTCAGTAAGGCTCCCAACAACCTTCCCTCAGTAAGGCTCCCATCAACCTTCCCTCGTAAGTGGCTCCACCATACCTTCCCCTCAAGTAAGGCTCCCACCAAAACTTCCTCACGTGAGGCTCCACTAACCTTCCCTCAGTAAGGCTCCCACAACCTTCCCTCAGTAAGCGCTACCACATCCTTCCCTCAGTAAGGGCTCTCCCACAACACTTCCCTCAGTAAGCTCCACCATCCTTGTCCCTCAGTAAGGCTTCCCACCAACCTTCCCTCAGTAAGGCTCCACCAACCTTCCCTAAGTAAGGCTTTTCCCACACCTTCCTACTAAGTAAGGGCTCCCACCAACTTCCCTCAGTAAGCTCTCACCAACCTTCCTCAGTAAGGATCCCACCAACCTTCCCTCAGTAATGGCTCCCCCACCAACCTTCCCTCGGTGGGCTCCCACCACCTTCCCTCAGTGAGGCTCCACACCAACCTTCCCTCAATAGGCTCCCACACAACACTTCCCTCAGTAACGGCTCCCACCAACTTCCTCAGTAAGCCTACCACAAACCCTTCCCTCAGTGAGGCCTCCCACCAACCTTCCCTCAGTGAGGCTCCCACCTGCATTCCATTCAGTGAGGGCTCCCACCAACCTTCCCTCAGTGAGGCTCCCACCAACCTTCCCTCAGTGAGGCTCCCACCAACCTTCCCTCAGTAAGGCTCCCACCAACCTTCCCTCAGTAAGGCTCCCACCAACCTTCCCTCAGTAAGCCTCCCACCAACCTTCCCTCAGTAAGGCTCCCACCAACCTTCCCTCAGTGAGGCTCCCACCAACTTCCTCTGTGAGGCTCCCACCAACCTTTCCCTCCCAGTAAGGCTCCCACCAACCTTCCCTCAGTAAGCCTCCCACCGACCTTCCCTCAGTGAGGCTCCCACCAACCTTCCCTCAGTGAGGCTTCCACCAACCTTCCCTCAGTGAGGCTTCCACCAACCTTCCCTCAGTGAGGCTCACACCAACCTTTCTCAAGTAAGGCTCCCAAACCAACCTTCCCTCAGTAAGGCTCACCAAACCTTCCCTCGTAAGGCCTCCCCACCAACCTTCCCTCAGTAAGGCTCCCACCAACCTTCCCTCAGTAAGGCTCCCACCAACCTTCCCTCAGTAAGGCTTCCACCAACCTTCCCTCAGTAAGGCTCCCACCAACCTTTCACTCCCCCAGTAAGGCTCCACCAACTTACCTCAGTAAGGATCCCACCTACCTTCCTAAGTAAGGCTCCACCAACCTTCCCCTCAGTAAGGCTCCACCAACTTCCCCTCAGTAAGGCTCCCACCCGACCTCCCTCAGTAAGGTCCCACAACCTTCCCTCAGTAAGGCTTCACCAACCTTTCCCTCAGTAGGCTTCCCAACCTTCCTCAGTAAAGGCTCCCCCAACTCCCCTCAATAAGCTCCACCAACCTTCCCTCAGTAAGGCTCCCACCAACCTTCCCTCAGTAAGGCTCCCACCAACCTTCCCTCAGTAAGGCTCCCACCAACCTTCCCTCAGTAAGGCTCCCACCAACCTTCCCTCAGTAAGGCTCCCACCAACCTTCCCTCAGTAAGGCTCCCACCAACCTTCCCTCAGTAAGGCTCCCACCAACCTTCCCTCAGTAAGGCTCCCACCAACTTCCCTCAGTAAGGCTCCCACCCAATATTCCCTCATTAAGGCTCCCACCAACCTTCCCTCATTAAGGCTCCCACCAATAACCTTCCCGCAGTAAGGCTACCACCAACCTTCCTCAGTTAAGGTCCACCAACCTTCCTCGTAAGGCTCCCACCAACCTTCCCTCAATAAGGCTCCCACCAACCTTCCCTCAGTAAGGCTTCTTTCTCTCTGTGTTGGGTTTATCAGTGCCACTGTCAGCATACGTTGTATCGAGTCAGACTTCTCGATGGTACCAGGAAAAATTGTTGCCCAAGGTTGGGCGATGAGAGAAAATAACACAAGTTCCTTTGTGAACAGAGACAGAAACTTAAGTTTCCAATTAGATCCGGTGGACCACCTTGCCAAGGCCCAGCAGAGAGGGACGCCAACACTCCCACCTGAGTTCAATAAATGGCTTCCCATCAAAGACCGTTAAAGAATTTTCCGCAGAGCGGAAAAAATGGAGCTGGATAAAAGTACGCTGATGAACAGGTGCCCCTCGGGTGAAATGGATGACGACAAGCGTTCCAGAGAGAACGGGGGAAATTTGTCAGTGATACTCAGGCGAGAGAGAGACGTCCACACGTGACGAAGTCTGACGTAGAACTCCTCAGTGAGGCTCCCACCAGCTTTTCCTTAGTGAGGCTCCTTTTTGTTGGGGTTTATAGGGCGGCTGGCAGCATACACCGTATTGAACCCTGCCTTCCGGTGTACAGTCTTAGCTGACATCACTGACATGCTACTGTATAGAAAGCCCCTTGTTATTTACCTGTTATGCAGAGCATTTCGGGGAAATTAGGTCAATTTTGTCCCAGGATGCGACCCACACCAGTCAACTAACACCCAGATATCTATTTTACTAATGGGTGAACATGGACAACAAGTGGCTTATGGAAATACGTCCTAATGTTTCTAGCAGTACTGGGGATCGACCCCGGGACCCCAGTGTGTGAGTTGAGTGCGCTAGCGATCGAAGTGAGGCCAGTAAGAAGGCGCAAGTATAAACCAGAATATCCTTGAGATGCAACAGGGTCGAACCCCTCCCATCAATTCCCTAGCAGCGTCATTGAAGCTAAAATGTTGTGTAGTTTTAACCTTTAAACTGTCCAAACGTAGATCTACGTTTTTTACACTCTTATGGAGAAAATCAAGGTCGGAGCGCTATGCGCAAAAACGTAGATCTACGTTTGGACAGTTTAAGGGTTAAAAATAACTTGGACAAATACATGAAAGGGTGTAAGTTAGACCTGACTAGCTTGGGCTAGTGAATCTGATGCAGTTCTCCTTCCTTCTTAAGTGGATGTGACTTGAACCAGGCTAGCTTAGGCCAGTGGCCTGGTGGCTAAGGCTCCTGCTTCCCACACGGAGGGCCCGGGTTCGATTCCCGGCTGGTGGAAACATGCCGACACGTTTCCTAACACCTGTTGGCCTGTTCACCTAGCAGTAAATAGGTACCTGGGTGTTAGTCGACTGGTGTGGGTCGCATCCTGGGGGACAAGATTGAGGACCCCAATGGAAATTAGACAGTCCTCGATGACGCACTGACTTTCTTGGGTTATCCTGGGTGGCTAACCCTCCGGGGTTAAAAATCCGAACGAAATCTTATCTTATCTTAGGTGACTTGGACCTGACTAGCATGGGCCAATAGGTCTGCTGCAATGTTCCTTCTTTCTTATGTTCTTATGTTACGTTCACTCACAGTGGGCCAGTTGGTCCTCTTGGTTGCTGGCCCGAAATGATCCGCATAACCAACGGCTTTCTGCATGCACCCATTTATGTACAAACATTGTGTCATGCGGAAATAAGTAAGTTTATTCAGGTACAGATACACAAATACAGTTGCATAAGTTTTCCTATATAGCAGCATATGTGTAGATTACCTAGGATAACCCAAGAAAGCCAGAGTGATTTATTTCCATTGGGGTCCTCTATTCTTATGTTCTTTCGCCCTAACCATATTGAAACCTCTGTGTCAGCCTTCGATCAGCGGGGACGACTAGCTCTCGATTGAGCATCAGTGATAATTATCTCCCGTTCTCTCAGGAATGCTTATCCTCATCTCATTTTACCCGTTGTGTACGTTACAGGAGAGGACTCTTTAATTGGCTCCATTTTTCCGTTCTGCTGATATTTATTTATCTTTTTGGTGGAAAGTTGGTTGCCGAACTAAAGTGAGGGTGTAGGTGTTTTGCTCTACTGGTTGGGCAATGGGGGACCACCCCTACCTAACTGGGAAACTTTTGTTCCCTTTTTTTCCAAAAGGGAATCCTTTTCTTTTTTCCTTTGTTAACTTCTGTGCCAGCCTTGGTGGTGTGTGTATGCCTCTTGTTCTCGCTGGGATTTGTGGTAAATTACTTCTTTCTCTCTGGGGCGCTTATTTTTCCGCCCAATGAATTTTATTAACGGTTTTGGAGGGAAGCCGGTTCATGAACTCAGGTAAGGGTGTGGACGTTCCGCTCTGCTGAATCTTGGGAGAGGATGGTCCACCTGGCTTGCTTGAGAACTTCTAGTTTCTGCTCCTGTTTGCAAAGAGGCTTCTGTTCTCTAGTTTAGTTGTGCTGCCTAAGTTTAGTTAGTTTAATATGTTTATTATGCACCCCATACCCATCCTGTGGGCGGTAGTCAAAAGATTACAGAGGTACATAATTGGTCCAGGGACTGGACTCCAAAGTTTTGATAGCTGAGCAAGTTACAGAGGTAATGAATTCACAATTTACAAAGGTAATGAACTCACAAATTACAAAGGTAATGAACTCCGGGTAGGTCTGGTCACAATCATGACAAGTTACAAAGGTATTTACAGATTACAGAGGTACGTAATGGGTCCAGGGACTGGGCCCCAAAGTTTGGAGGGTGAACTAGGTAAAAGGAAAATGAACTCACAAGTTACAAAGGTAATGAATACTGTAAGAATGGTTCCCTTACGTTTATACATGGCTACAATCATGAACAAATTATAGTGTAATGAGCAATTCACATTTCCCACACCCGGTCACAACTGTAATGAGTTATTGGTGCAAATATTGATTGTTGAGTCACCACACACACCCCACACACACACACACACACACCCCACACACACACACACACACACACACACACACACACACACACACAGACCTGGTCCAGCAATTGGCTCCTGGAGTTCAATCCCACCAAGTGCAAAGTCATGAAGATTGGGGAAGGGCAAAGAAGGCCGCAGACGGAGTACAGTCTAGGGGGTCAGAGACTACAAACCTCACTCAAGGAAAAAGATCTTGGGGTGAGTATATAACACCAGGCACATCTCCTGAAGCGCACATCAACCAAATAACTGCTGCAGCATATGGGCGCCTAGCAAACCTCAGAACAGCATTCCGACATCTTAATAAGGAATCATTCAGGACCCTGTACACCGTGTATGTTAGGCCCATATTGGAGTATGCGGCACCAGTTTGGAACCCACACCTAGCCAAGCACGTGAAGAAACTAGAGAAAGTGCAAAGGTTTGCAACAAGACTAGTCCCAGAGCTAAGAGGTATGTCCTACGAGGAGGGGTTAAGGGAAATCAACCTGACGACATGGAGGACAGGAGAGATAGGGGGCATGATAACGACATACAAAATACTGAGAGGAATTGACAAGGGGGGACAAAGACAGGATGTTCCAGAGTTTGGACACAGTAAACAAGGGGACACATTTGGGAAGCTGAGACACAGATAATCACAGGGATGTTTAGGAGTATTTCCTTCAGCCACAGAGTATCGTAAGTGGAATAGTTTGGGAAGCGATGTAGTGGGGCAGGATCCATACATAGTTTAAGCAAGGGAGATTTAAACCTACGGCTCAGGGAGAGTGACCTGTAGGATCCATGAAGAGGCGGGCCAGGGCTCGGACTCACCCCCCCAACCTACAACTAGGTGAGTACAACTAGGGGAGAAATAATACAAATTCCCCAACACCACACACAAAACACACACACACACACACACACACACACACACACACACACACACACCATACACAAACTCATACACACACACGCACCAACATCTACCGGGTGAAGGGCGGGCCAGGAGCTAAGACCGACCCTGCAACCACAAATAGGGAGACAAATAGGTGAGAAACCCCACACCACCCACTCATAACCACACACACCATACACATACACACGCCACACAACACACACACCCCACACACAAACACACACACACCACACACACACCACACACACACCACACAACGCACACCAAACACCAACAACACACACACACACACAACACACAAACAACACCACACACACACACACACACCACACACACACAAACACACACACACACAAACACACACTACTGCTGGCTGTTTCTCTTCTCTAGCCTCAAGGGTTTTTGCTGTAAACTTCTCCCTCTGTTTACATTTACTGACCGTTAGCTTTTTTTGGAGGAAATCTAAATTATATTCGAGAATACCTTTTACTACTACACTACTATACTCCACTATACTGCTCCATTTTGTGTTTTGGTACTGGTACCTCATCTTTCAGCCCCTGGAAAAACCGCTCTGTTTTTCTTCCCCTCTTCTCTATCATTAATGTAGGTCGTTGGGTCATGTAGGCCCTAAACCTGTTTTGAACCTTTAATTAATTCTGTATATGATTAATTCTTTGTTTTGTTCTAAGTGTCATGTTTTGCTGTACTGGAGTTCCTTTGTTTAGGAGTGAATTTTTGATGCCACCCCCAATCATGACATCTTGAGAAGTGTTTGAGAGTTAGCTCAGGTATTTTTCCTGATTTTTTTGTTTTTATACCTTGAAAACCATATTTCGTTGTATTTTGCTTTTCCTATTTTAAAAGTTACATATATATATATATATATATATTTATATAATATATATATATATATATATATATATATATATATATATATATATATATTTATATATATATATATATATATGTGTATATATATATGTATATATATATATATGTGTATATATATATATATATGTATATATATATATATTTATATTATATAGGGCTGGAATGGGGACCTCTTTCCTCAGAGAAGACAAAAAACATGTGTATGTGTATATATATGTATATATATTTTTGTATATATATGTATATATATGTATGTATATATATGATATATTAAAATATTTTATGTATATATATGTATACCTGGATTTTACCTGGAGGAGAGTTTCGGGGGTCAACCCCCCCGCGGCCCGGTCTGTGACCAGGCCTCCTGGTGGATCAGCGCCTGATCAACCAGGCTGTTGCTGCTGGCTGCACGCAAACCAACGTACGAGCCCAAGCCCGGTGATCAGGAACTGTCTTTAGGTGCTTGTCCAGTGCCAGCTTGAAGACTGCAGGGGTCTGTTGGTAATCCCCCTTATGTGTGCTGGGAGGCAGTTGAACAGTCTCGGGCCCCTGACACTTAATTTTATGGTCTCTTAAAGTGCTAGTGACACCCCTGCTTTTCATTGGGGGGGTGGTGCATCGTCTGCCAAGTCTTTTTGCTTTCGTAGTGGGGTGATTTTCGTGTGCAAGTTTGGTACTAGTCCCTCTTAGGATTTTCCAGGGTATATAATCAAGTATCTCTCCCTCCTGCGTTCCAGGGAATACAGGTTTAGAAAC